TAAAAAAATAAATATAAATTAAAATATATATATATATAATAAATATATTTATTATTATTTTATACATTTTTTTTATTTTTATTTTTTTAAAAGGAGTTAATATTAAATACTTTTTTAATTTTTTTCTATTATTATTTTATTATATTCATTATTTTTCTTTTTAATTTAATTTTTTCTTTTTATTAATTTTTATTTTTATATTTCTCTAAAAAAATTAAAAAAATAAATAATATTAAATAGAAATAACAGAAATAAACGGTTATAAAAAATATTATATTTATTTTAGAATCTCAAACAAAGAATATAATTTATTATATTGATTTATTTTATTAACCAATACTTTTATAAAAAAATATTTTCTTTATAAATTGTTAATTGTTCATAAAAAAATAAATAATTTCATATCTTTAATTAAATATATTTATACATCATTTAAAAAAATATATATATATTATAAATAAAAGTTTCTTAATAAAAACTTGTTTAAATATTTTTGTTTTTAGATATAAAAATAAATAAAAAAATTAAATATTTTAATAAAAACAGACATAAAAATAAAAATAAATAAAATTAATTTATATTAATAACAAGAATAATAAAACAAAAACTTTATATTTATTTATTTATAACTAACTAAATATAATTAATATTATTATAATTATATAATAATATCATTAATTTTATATAATTTTTTATTATTTCTATTTTTTTTAGTATTTTATGTATATTAAATCTAATTAAATAAGGAAACTATAAATAAAATAAATTTAAATTAATAAAATTTGATATTTATACAAATACATTATTAAATATTTTTTATTAATTTTTTAAAAAATAAATTACAATATATAGAAAATTATTTTATTTAAAGGATGAAATTAATTTTATAATAATATAAATAAAATAGTATTTAATTAAAAAAAATCAAAATCAAAAAAAATAAAATAAAATGAAAAAAATAAATAAAATATTAATACAAATTTATATTATAATAATAAAATTAAATAAAATATAATCAAATAAAAGAATAAATTAATAAAAAGTATTTATATTATTATTATAATATAAATTAAAAAAACAAAAAATTAAATAAAAAATACTAAAATAAAATAAATAAATATAATATTAAAATATATAAATTAATATAAATTAATAAAATAAAATATATTTAAAAAAATTGTAAAAGTAAAAATACTAATATAATAAATAAAATTTTAAATATATATCATTTATAAAATTTATATATAAAAATATATATATATATATAATTAAAAAATTTAAATATATAAAAATATATAATTAATTAAAATAATTTATATGAAAATATAAAATTATATTTATAATCTTTATATTTTATTTAAAATAAAATAAAAATTAATAATCCAATTTTTATATATTTATATTGACATTTTTTTTATTATAAATTTATATTTTAAATTCTATCATTTTGTTATAAAAATTATATTTACATTTTAATAAACCATATAAATATTTAAATACTAATTATTTATTTATTTTATTTCTTAAATTATATATAAATACTTTTCAAATTAAATTGTATTATAATAAATTAATTAATAAATATATTTATTTATTATTAATTTTGAATATATATTTTTTAAATATTAATTTTTTTTTATTATTTATTTTCGGAAAAAAATATGGCCAAATATTCCATATATTTTATCTTTTTATAAAAAACTTAAGAACTATCTTTTGTTTATAATTTATATTGTACACTATAAAGTTTTATTTATTAAAATTTACAAAGTTTAGTTCAACTATAGATTAAAATATATGAAATCTTTTTATTATTATTAATTTTTTAAAATAAAATATGAATAAATTTAAATTAAAGATTATTTTAATATTATAAATAATTAAAAGTTTAACATTATATAGTAAAAAAAGATTTAAAAATTTTATTAATTTAATAGAAATATAATATATATATAAATATTTATTAAACATAAATTTTATTAAATTGTAAATAAAAGGAATATTTTTCATTAAAGCTAATATAAAAGTACATGATATTTAAACTAAAATTATTAAATATTTAGTATAAATGATCTAAAAAAATAAAATATTATTTATGAAAAATATATTTAAATTTTATTAATATATTGATCATAAAGGCTATAGATATAAACAAAATATTAAAACTTAAAAATTAAAGATATTATATGTTTATGTTACTGTTAAAAATAAATTATAAATTAAATTAATATTTGTAAATCATTATAATTGTTTTTTTAAAGAAGATATTTTTAAATTCGTTATTTAATTTTTTTAACATATTTAATTTAATTAATAAATAATAATTATATGATAAAAAATAAGAAAACATTAAAAATGTTTAAAATAAATTATTTCTGATTTAAAAAAGTTAAATATATAAAAAAAAATTTATAAAAAATTAGTAATATAATATATATAATTTATACAAAATTTTAAATTTTTAATAAATTTTTATTTATAAGACTATTTAAATTAAGATTATTTGAATCAAAAATATTATTAAACTTAATTTTAGAATAATATATATATATATATTTAAATATATTTATTTATTAATTTTAATTACTAATAATTATTTTTATATATTATGTTTTCTTTTAACTATTTTTTTTTATAATATATTTAATATTATTTTTTTTTTTTATAATTATATTTTTTTAAATATTAAAATAATTATTTTTAATTTTTATAATTATTTATATTAATTTTTAGTAATATTTATTATTATTTAATTTATTTTACTACTCTAATTATATAAAAATTTATATATACATATTATTATTTTTTAAAAAAAGACATATTTTTAATTTTTTTAAAAAATACTTTTTTAATAAATAAATTTAATATTAATATTTTTGTTTTTTTTTTAAATAAAATAATAAAAATTAATTTTAAATTAAAATATAATTTTTTATCATATTATTTTTTAAATTAAATAATTTTTTATCTTAAAAATATAATATTATATATTAATATTCATTTCTTTTTTTCTCCATCTTTTTTATACACGAAAACATTTTAATTTATCTAATAAAAAATATAAAATTTAAAAAACTTAAAATAAAATACATGTTTCCATTCTTAAATAATATAATCAGCTATAACATCCGCTACTTCTCCTTAAATTTCAACTTCTTCCCCTTCTTCTTTTGCTCCACAAGCAAATTTATGTCTAAATTTTTTAGCTGCCTCTTTTAAATTAACATCTTAAATAAAAATTATATAAAATCTATCTAATACTTAAAATTATTTTTTACTATATTTGCTTAATCCAGTAATAACAGTAACAATTTTTTTAAACTTTCTTCTTGTTAATAAAACAGTAATTTTATTGTCAGTTCCTTATAACTTTTTTTTATTATTAAAAAAAGAAATGAATAATTTTAAATAACTAATTAAATAAATTACCATTAATTATGCTGTCTTTTTTTATTTTTATATTTCTAATATTTTTATTTATTTATGAATATTTAATAATTTTTTTATATATATATATTTAACCTAATTTTTCAAGTTCTTCAGAAGTTAATTCTGGTTAATTTTCCTATTTTTTTCTTCTTCTTATTATCCTTCAGTTTTTTTTATTCGGTTGAATTTTATTAATCACCTTCTTTTTTTTCATCTTATTATTATGGTTATTAGTATAGTTATATGTACATTTTAGGATTATTAATTCTTAACCATTCTTAACATTTTCTTAATTTTGTATTTGATTAAAACATGCAAAATTCAGGTGGCAATGAACATGCTATTTTTTTATTTATTTGTATTTTTATTTTTTTATACCTTAGCAATAATAAACATTTTTTTTGTTAATTTCTTTAATTCTTTTTTTTTTCAGGTTCTTCTTGGACTTCTTATTCATTTTTATTTTTTAATTAGTCTTTTACTTCTTCCTCACTATCCATTTTTAGTTTTTTTTTGTAGATTTATTAAATATATTTTATTTTATATATAAATATAAATAATAATAATATTTATATATCTTTTTTTAAAAAAAATTAATTATTTTGCTGTATTTTTTTTTTTAGTTTTCTTAATATTTAAATTAATTTATAATCTTAATTAAATAAATTAATATTTAGAATCTTTCTAATATTTAAAAAACAAAGAATGAATAAAACAAATTTCAAAACATATAGAAAAAATATTTTATTTATTATATTAAAAATAAATTTAAAAAAAAAATAGAATTAAATTATATTTTCTTTACATTATATATTAACTAATTATTATTTTTACTTTTATTTAAAAAAAAAATATTCAATTAATTTAATTGCTTAATTAAATTAATATTTTAAGATATTAATTATAAAATATATTATAATCTTAAAATAAAAAATAATATATAAATGGATGTATCTGAAGAAATATTAAAATTATTTTAAGAAAAATATGTAATTAAGGCTTTAAGGCTTGATTTGAAATCATAAAATATTAGAGCAAAGGACAATTATTCGAGTTTATTTAAAAATATAATTAAAAATAAATTAATAATATTTTATTATAAAAAATTAAAAAAATAAGATATAAATTTCGGAAATAGAACATCGAAATTAACATTGGTATAAAGATTTTTGAATAAGCTAAAGACAAGCAATCCAAAAGATAGGGATTCAATATTAAATGAAATAGATAATTATCATTTATAAAAGTAAAAAAAATATTAAATATATAAAATACATTTATTATTATAATATGTAAAGCTATATAAATGATATTAGTAATTTTATTTCAGATTAAACAGTAACTGATAATGATATTCCTTATTTTATGCAAGTATTTATAATTTAATTTATATAAATATAAAATAATATATTTAAAATGAAAGTTATGTTCAAAATTACATTAAACATACGAAGAATTCGCAGGAACATTAATAACAAATATAACAAGATAAATAAAAACAAAGTAAAAATAATATAAATAATTATTTTATAAACAAAACATAACTAAATATAAAATATTTTTGAAATAAACATATAATATTATAAACAAAAAATTAAAAGTATTAAACTGAAAGAAAAAGACGATAAAATAATTTCGATAAAAAGAAGGGAGATGATGCGTTTTTTATGTGAATTATTTGTAATAGGTTTTCCAGTATCTTTTGAAAAAGTAATGGAATGTTTAAGAGAAATAGTAAATAAGAAAAATTATTAAAAATAAATATAAATATAAATATAAATATAAATATATAATATAAATATATAATTTATAAATATTTATTTATATATATTTATTATTATTTATTGATTTATTATTATTTTATATTTAGATATCTTAAAAAGATTCAAAATCTATTCTATTAAATGTTTAAACTGCCTTAATGTTTTCTACTCAATTTGCTTTTGAAATATTTGGTAAGAGAGGTTTTAAATTAGGTTACTATCACGAAAAATATGAAAACCTTCCTAATATTTTTAACTTTGATTATTAAATTATTCCTTAAGAAAAAATTTTAAAGATATTATAATCAATGTAATAATATATATATAGACTAACTGAATAGTTAAAATAGCTATATGAGTAAAAATAAGTTTTAAGTGAAAAAGTAAAGAAGATTTTAGAAGAAGAAGGTGAAATATTTGAAAAAGATGTAGAATTATAATACAATCGAACAATAAAAAATTATAAATAATTATTTGAAGCTTTATCTACAATTGCAGATTGCCTTGAATTAGAATTCTGTGTAGATTTCGGAGAAAACGAAGCCGAAATAAAACAGTAATAATTAATAGAGGAATAAAAAAAACGTAAAATATAAGAAGACGAAAAAATGATAAATGAAAACTCTTAACTTTTTGACACTGAAGAAGAAAAAGCTTTTTATTCTGATATTTTAGATTTAAAAAATAAAATATAAGATATTAATTTACTAACAAATAATAATTACTTTAATAATTATAAAGATATTAATAATTAAATATAATAAGAAGATAAAAATGATGAAGAAGAAAATTTGATTGATGATATAAATGAAAATAATAATTATAATAATAATAATAATAATGATATTAATAATAATAATAATAATAATAATAATAATAATAAAAATAATAATAATATTTCTTAAGATAAAAATATTGTTGAAAATATTTAAATTATAATAGAAGAAATTAAAGATGAAGGATTAATGCCGAAAACATATGATGACTTTAAAAAAAATTAAGATTTTGTGTTTCTTAAGAAAAAGCAGATACACTTGCAGAAGAATTTCTATATGTCAATAATAAATAAAATAGGAAAAAATTAGTTAGAGATATTCTTGAATACAGAAAAGAATATAATTTAATGGTTCCTTAATTATGTAGATTTGTGGCTGTAGTATCTAAATATTTTAAAGATTTAGCTGATTTTTTAGTAGATAAAGTAATTAAAGATTTTAATATTTATAAAGAAAAAAATAGATAAGATTTTTCTTTTAGAGATAAAAAAATTAGGTTTTTAAATAAATATATTTATATATATATTTTATTTAAGATATATATTTTTTTAAGATATTTAAAATATTTATGTGAATTAGTGAAATTTAAAGTAGTTGATTTAGGAAAAATCCTTGATATATTAAAATCATTAATAGATGATTTTTCAACTCAATAAATAGATTTAGTTTGCGCTATACTAGATAATTGTGGAAGATTTTTATATAAATGTAATGAAAGTAGATTTAGATACTGTGGACTATTAGATAATCTATAATGGAAATTATAAAAAGCTAATTTACCTACGAACAAGCTTATTTAGCTTGAAAACTCAATTAATTTATCAAAACCATCTAAAAAACGACAAATAAAAGCACCAAAAGAAGAAACAGAAGAATAAAAATTTATAAACTATTTAATTTTTTATGTTTTAAATATATAAAATTTCAAATAAGTTACTGAAGTATTAAGTAATATGAATTGGAATGAATAATTAGAATAATATTGTTTTAAGGCAATAATGAAAAAAATGACAAAAGGAAAGGTAGATTAAATATAATTATGCGCAGGAGTAATATCTTTTTTAAATAAATTAAGACCTTCTATAACAATAAAAATAGTAGATGAGTTAATAGAAAGAGTATATATTTATATATATATAAATATATAAATATATAAATATATAAATATATAAATATTTATATATATATATTATTATTTATATATATATATCTTTAATATTTTATTATATTAAATATTTGTTTAATATAGACTATTTTTGGTATGGAAACTAATTAAGTTTAAGAATAATAAAAAAGAATAAATGTAATAAGATTATTAAGTGAATTATATATTTTTAATGTATTAGAAATTGATTTTATTTTTACTGTTTTATATATGATTTTAAATTTTGGTCATGAAGATTTTAGAGATATTGAGGAATAATAAAGAATTGATGGAGAAGAAGATCTATTTAGGATATCTATGGTATGTAATATGATAGAACCTATATAGGATTATTTAAGAAAGAAGAAAAATTTTCAAACGACTTTGAAGTTTTTGGTTAATTTTCATAAGTATATTTTATCAAAAAAATATGTCCCGATAGATATTGAGTTTATGATTCTGGATACTTTTGATACTTTAGATGATAGTTAAAGGTTTACTAAAATTAAAAACTTTGAATAAGCTTCAGAATTGGTTATTAAGGTCAATTCGGAATAAAATTAAAAAGAAAAATAGAAGATATTATTAGTGAATATGTTAGTATTATTGGAAAAATAAAAGAAAATTTATAATAAGAATAAAAATAAAAATAAGAGTAAAAATAAGAATGTGAATAATAATATGATCAAGAATAGATTAAAGAAATTGATTAAGAAGAAGAAAGAAAAAATATAGTTCTTCAAGCACAAATAGAATTATTTGAAAGAGAACTTAAAAATACAATAGAAGTATTTTTTATTAAAATATAATTTTTTTTTTTAATATTATTATTTTTTTAATTTTTGATTATATTATAAAAAGGAAAGTGAAAAAGAATTGGTTTAAACTATTTAAAAAAATGTATTAAATCAAGGAAAGAAAAAAATTGTTAATGTATAGACAAAAATTAATTTTATGGATTAAGAAGGATAAAAAAAATAAATAAACATTATTAAAAAAAAGAAAGATGTAAAATTAATATATTAAATATTTTAAATAAATAAATTTATAAATATATATATATATATAAATATATATATATATAAATATATTTAATTTTATATATTTATTTTATATATATTTATATACATATAGTAAAAAGATCCTAACTCTAATTTAAATACTAATAGTATTATTAGTTTCTTATATGGAAACGAAGGAATATTATAAAACGAACATATTTAAATAAAAGTAATGAAAAATAAAAAAAACTGACAATAGATAAATAATTCAATTAAATTTATAATATAATCTTTAAAAAAATAATAATATTATTTTTAAAAATAAAATATTTATTTTTTAACTTTTATATTATAGATATTTAATATTATTTTAAAATTTAACTTGATAATTAATAATTCATATACTTAAAATTAATTTATATTGATTTCAAATAATATTTTTTTAATAACATTTTTTTATTATTAAAAAGAAATAACGACATATTTATAAAAATAGGTTTATTATTTTAATATTTATAAAAAAAGCTAACGTTAATTACTTAGTTTTATACTATTCAAACATAAGTCATAAATATACTCTAAATTTAATATAACGAGCAAACAACACTTTTATCTTATTGAACTTTTCTAATCTTATAAATATACTCTATCAATCATAATATATATATACAGATTATATTATAAGTACTAAAAACCTATTTTAATTTAGGTTCTTAATTAATTTTAAAATATTTTATTTCCAAAAATTTATTTGATATCCATTAAAATATTTATTATAAATATTCAGAAAAAAAATTTCTTTAATTTTTAAAAATAAAAAAAAATAATCTAATAATATATAATTTTCAATATAAAATTATATTTAAAAAAATATTAAAAATATTAAAATAATTATGATTAAATTATTTTTTATATTGATAAAAAATTGGATTTAATTATAATATTTGTAATTCATTATGAAAGTAATTTTGATAAATCAACATAAATATAGTTTTTAATAATAATAAAATAAATAAAAAACTTTATATATAAAAAAAAATTAAAAAAAAATATTTTATAAAAAATGATAAAAAAATAAAAAAACAAATAAATATAAATATATAAATATTTTGTATAAAAGCAAATTTATATATATATTTATATATATATATATTTATATATATATAT